CCTGGAAATGAAGTAATCTCTCCATTTTTGGAGCAGAGAGGTTGAAAGCCTGGCACTGTGAGGAGCTGAATCAGAAAACGATGTTTGGAGGAAGCTTGAGGCCAACTCCTTTCTCCTTCCTGGGCTGGCCAGACAAGTCCCCCAGGATGCCAATGGGGCTGAGTACCTTAGAGTCATCAAGCTATGGGGTTACAAGGAGCTACAGGATGCATCCAATCAGATGCAGGGAGCAAAGCCCTGTGCTCAGGGAGCCTCCAAACTGATGGGGGACAAGCTCTGCCTGGCAAAGCCCCAGACTGGGGTGGAAGGTAGTGGTAAACACACATCAACCCCCTAAACACACACACACACACACACACACACACACACACACACACACACACACACACTTTGGCAAGAGAAATTATCTGACCTTCAGAGAGGGTACATAACTTATCCAAGGTCACACAGCAAGTTGTAACAAAGCAGTGCTTTCCTCAGTACCCTGGGATCTCAGGTCCCTCCCCTTCCTCCCTGGTGCTGCAGTTGCTGTCAGGGCAGAGGGGTAGAAGAATCAAGGGAGACATCTGAGGGGACAGAATTTGGGTTCCTGTGCCAGGGCTGGAATCGATGGCCATGTTCAGGAGCCACAGGATGTTCCAAGAAGCACTGGGATAGGAGCTCTTGCTAGAACTCCAGAAAAAAGAAGAGGCAAGGCTTAAGGGAACAAAGAAAAAAAGTCATAATAAAATAATCGGGTTTCTATGGCCATTCGGTCTCCCTCCCCAACGATTTATAAGGGATATAGGAGATGGAGAGCCAGGAAAGGGGGCAGGAATAAGAAGGGATGGGGAAGGGGTAGGGAAGGGGGGGAGGGAGAGAGAGAGAGAGAGAGAGAGAGAGAGAGAGGTCTCTCCCCTCCCCACACACTCTCACACACAGGGAGGTTTGTCTGTATATTTCTGGGTATGTTTTTTTCTATTGCTGCATATGTTTAAGCCCCTGTGTATCTCCTTCTTGGTTCATCCCTCTGTGAGTATATAACCTGTGAGTGTATTTCTCTGTATATGTCCATGTACTAACATGGGAAGGTTTCATGCACATGTGCTCACACATGTCTGTGTGCAATTCTGCCCACTCCATATATGCTGTTGAATGTGTCTGCCTGTCTGTATGCACCGTCTTCTGTGGAAATGTGTATGCACTTATGATGTCCCCATGCCCGGTACCTGCATCTGCCTGTCCCCGTGCCTGAGACCTCTGTATTTTGAGGTTTGGGGTAGGAGGGTCTTTAACTGCCTCCTGCCTTTTAACCAATCTGGGTTGGCCAGAAAATGAGAGGAAAGGCATGAAGAGGGGGCCACTTTTCCCTCTCTAAGTTTTTTCATCTTGGAAGGGAAGAGTTGCCTAGTGACTCACTGAAAATTTTCTCCCCAGCTCCCCCAGGTCCAACAGCCATGCATGCTTCTCAGAGAAGGGACGGGGGCAGGGGTGGAGTGGGGAGAGACTAGAGCTGAAGGAGCCCCTCTTCCTTACCCCTGCTTGGAATAGGAGAAGCAAGGAGAGAAATGGGAGAGAAGGGAAGATAGGAAGAGAAATACTTCAGGGTCAGTGAATTTTTCTTTTCCACCATAATTGTTAAAACATTACTCACCTCCAGGAACCTGGTTCCTAGGTTAAGGGGGGTCATAGTCCCTTGAAAACCAGCTACTTTGTGGGCGAAGTTTAAGGGGTCTTTGCAGAGGCCTGAAGCCCATCCCTACACCCCTGTCTCAGCTCCTGTCTCCTAGCCTCTACCTCTAGTTTCCTTTCAGCACCATCACTCCCCCCTCCACCTCCTCCCAGGCCAAATGAGCCCTGGCAAGGCAAGGGTTATCCCAGGTGAACTGGGGATGGGCAACACCTGCAGGATACTTTTCTGAAGAAGAGGCTTCAGTGGCCCGGAGGACAGAAAGCCATCACTACAATGGAAAGAGTTGAGATTAGATGCCAGGTAGGACTAGAAAGCATTAGATCAGGGGAGGAGAGAGAGTGGGTATATCATCACCTCCTTGATAGCAGGAAGTCAGTGTATGCCTTCTCTGGCCTTTCCCCTCTCTACCCACATCCCTTACAACTTCTGGGGTTAGTCCTTGATCTCCAAGGCCCCGTCTACACAGGCCTCAGCTACCCGGATAACATTCCATTGACTCTGGATACAATCCCAGAGACAAGTTCAGGCATCCAAACTCAAATGAGGTTTGGAGCTGAGTAATCAGCTGCTAGGGCTATGCAGACATTTTGTAGGGGAACAACCAGCTCCCCACCCCCACCACACACAGAGGATTTGGGGGGAGGGAAGAGGAGGGGAGGGGCAGTCTGTCATTCAGTGTCTTCCCAGCTCCCTCCCACCACCACAGTCTCTCTTTTCCCACCTGCAAGTAATTTGGCCAATGGGAGGGCAGTTAAGATTGCAGTGTGGAATCCCTCTAGATCTGTGTGCATTTGGTGGGGAGGGGGCTACCTCCTTTCCCCCCAGACCCCAGGTGCCCTTTTCCTCTTCACAGCAGCAAATTACTTGTAATTATCTCACATTGAAAGCCTTCAGGAGCTGCTTCCAAAATTGCTTTAATTGAATTAATTGAATCTCATTTTGTTGGGGGAGAGAATGGGGAGCATGTCTTAAAATAGCACATGCAGAGAAGGAAGGGAAGCCACGAGTCAGCTTTCCTGTGGCTGAGACCCTTGCAGGGGAGAGATCGTACCCTGGACTCCCTGTGTTCATTTTCTGGTCTTGGCTGATTTTTCAAGCCCAGTGCATTTAGGAACTTGTCTGAGTCCTGCTCTCAAATGGTTGTGACCAGGGATGCGTGGAGTTCTCCAGTCTCTGGCCCCATTCCTCCTCCCCACCCTGAGGACGGACCAGAACGGAGAGGTGAATGGATGGCAGTGGCAGTGTGAACTGCCCTCATCATGACTCTTGCGCCCCATAATCACACAGCAGCTATAACTGCCATTTATTAAGTGCTTACTATGTTCTAGGCTCCTGTCAAGTGTGTTACAAGCACTATCTCATTTCATCATCACAACCACACTGCGCAGCTGGTCCTGTTAGTATTCTCATCTTAGGGGGACAAAAAAGAGGCTCAGAGAGACGTGAAGTCCCTTGCCGAAAGTCACACAGTCAGCTGGGACTCTTTGGAGGCCAAAGGCCAAAGCCCCCATTCTTAACCACTCGGTCTTGTCCTCCTGCCCTTATTGGCCCCGTTTGTCCAGATGGGCTTCCTCATGTAGAAGGTTCCCCTTCCACAGCCCAGATGGCTTGAGGGAGGGACATGGGGCACCTCCTCCACTGGGGTTCCAGTCCTATCATCACCCAGGAGCTCAGGGCAACTGGACCAGCTCCCAGGTGGAAAAGGACTTGCATTCCCCCTGGAAAGGGCTGATGGATGAGTGTAGGAAAGGGGGATGCTGTCAGCTCCGCTGGCCTCTGGCTGGGAGAACAATTACACTCCTTCTGCTACTTAACTTTACAACCTGGGCTGTTGTTTTAATGATGCGACTCGTGTTGGGCTGTCCAATTAATCTCGCCTTTGGAGGCTTTCCGAGATGGGGTGGTAGATCTTATCACCAGTCTGTGGAAAGAGGAGGAGTGTGTAACCTGCAGTGGGAGGAACAGCCGCCCTGAGGGCCTGTGGCCTCCAAGAAGACCCAGAGGAGAAATCCGGAGCAGGGGACACTGACAGCCAGTGGGCAGAGCGGATCTAGAGGTGGGGGAAGGCATTGGTGGAGGGCAGAGGAGGAGGAGGAGGTTTCTCCCTCATTCTTCACTGCTCCTGGATCTTGGCTTTGGCCCGCTTGTGCCATTTGCCATCCCCAGGAAAACCCTCCGGGGTGTTTTGGGGTGTGGGGGTGGCCACTGACCCAGAACAGGGCCTAGGAGGAACCAATTGCTGGCCCCCTCCTGAAGTGTAGGCGGGGGCTCCCACCAAATTTCACACCCCCCTGCCCTACACAGGACTCCAATTTGGGTCTCTCTCTGGCCAGCAGCATTGGCTCAAAATGTCTGAGTGGGTTTTCCAGACAGAGCAGGCCCTGAGTGCCTGGGAACAGGTTTAGGCAGTAAGAGGAAAGCTGGATTTGGGAGCTTTTTTCCTGTACTTGGAGGCCCCTCCCCCAAACCCTCGGGTCAAGCTGGGCTGGATTCCCTGAATTATTGGCTGCCCTTGTCATCAGCCCCCCTGCCTCTGGGTGCTATGTGTATGGTGGGGTGGGGTGGCCATGAATCTATTATACCAATGGGTCCAAGCCCAGTTGGAGTCTCTCGACTATGCCCGCGGTACCCTCTGCACTTCTCTGAGCCTGGCACCACACAGCAGCAGGCTATTTGTCTGGCTCCCCTGTTAGCTCACAGAGTCTGCCTAGGTCACCTTGGTATCCAGAGGATCTAACTGAGACTCTACAAGTGTTTATTGGGTGGAGGAAAAGTCCAGTATCTTCTGGGGTTTTCTTCTCCCCCACCTCCTCTTCCCCCTTCCCCTAAGTGGGCTGAGGTCTCTCCACCCCCAAGGAGCACACTTCTCTCAGGGAGGACTGAATTGGCTCTGTGGGCATGTTTTCTCCCAAGGTGACCAGGGGCTCTGCCTGGGCTGAAGGTGGGGTACAGAGGGCCTTGTGTTGCCCCGCTCCCTCCAAAGCTGGGCCAGGAATCACCTTGCTGGTGAGGACCATTCAGACTTTGGTCATTCCCAGATTTAGCATCTTCTGGTTTCACACTGGAGCCTATGAAAATATGGATGCTGTTAGAATATTCCAGAGCTAGAACCAGAGCTAGTTAATGGTAGAGGCAAAACAAGGACCCAGTGCCTCTAGTTCAAGGCTGGAAGAGTTAGCTGGGAGAGAAGAGAGATGAGCCACCAGCCTCAGAACTCAGAAAACAAACACTCCTCACAGCCAGGGCCCAGATTTTTGTACAAACTTTAATCTCTGAGGGATGGTAAGAGCTTGGGGATGCTAGTCCGACTGGTTATAATGTGAGCAGTTTGTTTAGACAGATACAGCCGTGAGAAGCTGAATTGATGAGCCCACCCCACCTATTTGGGGTGTCTCTACTTATACTCATCCAGAGAGTCAGTTTGTCCCCATTCTGCCCAAAGTGTTACCCTGCTGTGTTCCCAAGAGTATGTGCATGTGGGGTTGTTCGGTATGGGGGGAGGGGGCTCTTAATAAATACTTGTTGAATTATATGGATAATTGAATCCATTATCTACTCAAAACCATAGACATGGAGAAAAGAGGGCTTGTTAAGGAAGAGAGTATAAATTACCCATAGGCCTGCAAACTCCACATTTTCAGCATCCCTCTCCATCACAGGAGGGCGAATAGGTGTATCAATTATGGGATGATGGGCTGACCTCCAGGAAAAATTCGTGGGTGGGACCTGATGGTGGTCAACTTGAAGACTGGATATCTACTTCATTTCTGCTCTTGCTCACAAATGGGTTGGGCAAAGCCCAAGGCACACAAAGAAAAAAACCCTCAGTGTTTCTTGCTGGTTTTGACCTTAGGCTGTGGTGGGACTGCAGTCCTTTCAAGGAAGGGGTGTCAAGACTAGGGGTAGTGGGGGCACTGAACTGCAGCCAGTGACTTTCTCCAGAGCCTTTGACCAGCTACAGGGATGGTATCCAGTCCATGGTAGTGATGGGGGGCAGTAGCTAAGACCAAAGTTCTTGATTAGACTGTATGGGTTATGGGACAAGGGGGACAGGAATCCATCCCATTCTTTTTCTCCTCTAGCTCCTCGTCCGCCTGAGAAAACCCATCTGGAGCTGGTTTCCTCCTGGCCCAGAAGGGGTACAGGTGGGCTGGGTCCTGAGCTTTGTAGGAGGGCTGGGGGCCCAACCCACCCTTCCCCAGGCTCACTCACATCATCTGAGGAGGAGCCAGGACATCTGGGGAGTGATGCTGATACCAGGCTCCAAAGCTGTTGCCATAGCCCCCAGTGGTCAGGGCCCCTGCCTTGGGTAGATCCCAAAGGGATGGAAGGGGTGGGGAGCAGGGAGACAAGGAGGGGGGCCTACCGGGGAAGTCCCCTTCCTGTCCCCCAGAGTTCTGCTTCAGGAGCTTCTTGTATTTGGAACGTTTGTTCTGAAACCAGATCTTTACCTTTGGGGAGAAAAGGGGAAAGAATGGAAGATCAGAAGGAGTATATGTGTGGAAGGAGGCGACCAAAGGAAAGGGAGCAGTAGGGAGTAGTCCTGGGAGAAGAGCAGAGGATGGGACTTGCACCAGTCCTCCACAGCCCTGGAAGCCCCTGAATTCCTGCCTCTGACCTCGTACCAGTTATCCCAGTCTAGGTACCTTCCTCTACCTAAATCTACCTCCTCCCCTCACACACATACCTTTTAACACATTCCCCCAACTTACTGTGGGCCAGCTATGAACACACCCTGGAGAACTATGACAACAGGGGTAGGGGACTCAACAGTCAATCCCACCTAGGGGGTGGATTCCCAGAGAACACACTTGGGGATGGTTAGCGTGCAGGAAGGATGGGACTGGCCCCACCTGGGTCTGGGTGAGGCCGAGCTGCGCTGCCAGCTGGGCCCTCTCGGGCAGCGCCAGGTACTGCGTGTGCTGGAAACGCTGGTTTAGATGCTGCAGCTGCAAGCTCGAGTAGATGGTCCTCGGTTTGCGCAGCTTCTTGGTCGGGGCCTGCGGGCGCCGCTCCGGGGGCTCCGGGGACAGCTGCGGCTTCTCGTTGGAGTCTGACGGGCAGCACAGAACAGAGCGTGGGAAGGTGAGAGGGTCTGTCGCGCAGTTTCATAGGCTCATTTGCATCTCGTTTGCATGCTGGCCTCTGATTAGCAAAAAGCGCAGGCACTGGGCCCAGCCGTTCTCTACCTTACGCTCCACGCTCCTCTCAAACCTCACGTCCACTGTGCGTCGGGTGGGACCAGATGTGGTTCTTGCCCTCAGGGAGCTCCCACTCTTATGGGCCCGGTGACCCTAGGAATAAAGCGCCTAGGGCCGGAGCGCGGGTAGGGGCGGCGCCGACAGCGGGAGGTCAGAGTTCAGCCGGGCGCGGTGGCGCCAGGTTGGAGTGGGGTGGGGCGGGGCGGGGCCGAAAGCCTCGGTGGAGGCTTGGACCGAGGCCTGGAGAGGACGGGGGAAGGGCATTCCAGGCGGAGGGAACTCACAGTCAATGCTCTGAGGCACAAGACAGCGGCTGCGTGGCAGCCTCCCCGCTGCCGAAAGAGGAGTGGGTCAGAGGGGCTCGGCGGAGCCGGCCTTGAACGCCAGGATGAGCACGCCTCCCAGGATCAGAGTGTGGAAAGCGCCCTCTGGGTTTGCCATCTCCTCCCCTACTGTAAGGGGCTGCCCTGTTCCTAAGGCACACCCAGCAGGAAAAGTGACCATCGCTCCCCCTTCCCCGTGGCCGGATGGCTAGGGAAAGCGGCCTTCAGGGACCCTAGAAGCTAGGTTGGGGTGGGGCAACCCCCTCCTCCGCCCGGCCGCACTCACAGAGGGGTTCTTGGCTGGCAGGGTGAACCGAGTCCGGAGAGCGCGAAGTGCCCAGCAGCACAGGCCCTCTTGGATTGCGCTGCGGTATCGCTGCGGTCAAACTGGTCACCTCCTGCCCCCAGGCTCAACCTCCCAAGGAATCTCGGCCGTGGAACAACCCCGCCCTAGAATGCGGGTCGGGGGACGGACGAGGGGTTCTCTACTTCCTATCCAGGCGGCCCCAACCTGCGCAGATCTACAAGGACACTGAGACCATTCCATGCAGATGGTAAGGCTGGGGTGGACCAAGCAGCCAAAATGTCCCCGGGTTTAGGACAACGTTCGCTGCATTCCACGCGAGTCTCCCGGCCGTCCCAGCCAAAAGGGCGCTTGGCCCCGGTGCTCAGAGGGCCGGGGTCCACCCTTGTTCCCCACCCGTCTTCTCCTGCGTCCTGTGGTCTGGCTCACCCCAAACGTCAGGTATCCGCCCTTGGCCGGCCCAGGTGACCAGTTGCCTTCACCTCCCCCGCATCCCTCACCCGTGGCCTGGGGCACCAGCGGGCTTCTCAGATCCACCCCCTCGACCCCCGCCTCAGCCAATTCCCAGAAAAACCGTTGGGTTTCCGCTCCCGCCCGCGCCAGTCCAAACTCCACTGCTCCCATCCTACTGCTGGAAGCCCCAGGCTGGCAGTCCAGCGACCACCCGCACCTCTCAGGCTTGGTGGACCACAGCAATTCCCATACAGAGAGAGCCTGGAATGCAGCATCGGCTCCTGAACTCTCACAGCCTTCGACCTTAACTCTCCTAGCAGACCCTCCTCCAAGTTCCCTCCCTGCCAGCTGCCTTTCTCCACACTAGCTGCAGCAAGTCGCTACTGGATCTCTCCTGGTCACGATTTTGGAGCCCAAGGGACTCTCTGGAGGCCCACAGCCCTGCATGCTCAAAGTGGGGGTGGCACTGCAGCTCACTTAGAGCCAAACCTCCCCCTAGGGCGGGGGTGGACACAGAGGAGCAAAAGGAGGACCCCCAAACCCTCTCTCACACCTCAATCATTCAATCTAGAGTAAGCCAAACCCACTACTTTCAGTAGAAAAATGCTACAATCTAGGCTAAGGACCGGTGTGGTTTTCGTTGCATCCGGGGAAATTCTGTCAAATAAAGGAACTCTCCACTCTCTTGTCTGTAGACTAAGCAAAGGGAAGGCAGGGAGCGTGGCAGACAGGGCTGGAAACACCATCCCCATTTCCAGTTATCTTAAGGGCAAGGTTATCTTACTTCCACCCCACTACACACATACTTACACACAAATGTACCATATTAGCACATATTGAAGGGAAGGGTCCAAAGGATTGTTTGTAGAAACTAGATTATTTGTAGACCCCACCCCCAACTTCTCCTCTTCCAATGACAGACTCAGCAGCCTAGGAGAGAGGTAGCCCCAGTTCTGGCACAGAAGGCAGTTAACTTTTGGGGGCTGTGGGGATGTTTTCTAAAATCCTCTTTTCTGGCCTCATGCGGTGAAAGTCAAATTGCAAGGGCCCAGAGCCTGAAAAACAGGCTATGTTCTTGACCTATGCACACCCTTTCTTTGGGCCTCAGTGTGCCCATCTGTACATCAAGGAGGTTGAGCTCCCAAATCTCTAGGGTCACTCCTAGCTTGGCAGAGTGATGGAAGGGAAGGAGGTATCTTGGTCCTGGGCTGACTCCAGCGAAGTCACCGGCAGATGTGCAACCTTGAAGGAAACTGTGCCAAAGACAATTGTGGGGGCAATTAGGTGGGGGCAAGGAGTGCAGGGTACTTGAGGTCTAAGCCAAAGCCTGTACAGACTGGTGTATGTATAGTGTTGCATGGGTGCTGCTCATGCAAGGCCCATGACCAGGAACACAGGCTAGCTCCTTGGCTTCTTTGAGGACCTCCAGAGGGCACTTTCTCAGGAGTTCAAAGTTGCTTTGGGCAAAGGGAACTGAGGCCTAACATTCCCCCAAGTGAAAGGGGGAAGATGATAGGGGTGGTCTACTCGTTCACTGGAAGGCTGAGGTTTACAATGAGAGACTGACTGACCCACCTGTGGTCACATTCTTAGAACAATGGGTGATGGGGTCCTAGCCCCAGATTCTGCCAGGCCGTCTTCCTGTCTCGGTCAGGCACTTTTGGCCAGGTCTGGGGGAGGGAAAAGGGGCCCGAATAAGCCCCCACTTCTACTGCTCTCCAGCTGGGACCTGATTTCCATTTTTCAGGCTTTGGCTTGAGTACTGATTTCTGAGACAAGACAATCGCCGCGGAGAGGGGGGACGTGGGGAAGGGGAGTACGCGGCGGAGAGAATCCTGGGGAAGGGTCTAGGCACCCACACCCACATCTGGATTCTTTCAGTTTTCCGTTACACGTAGGTACACACAACCCCGCTGCTCCAGGGGGTGGGGTAGGGAGCCCGGTTGCCCAGCTTCACACAACTGCAAATCGAAACCAGGTCGGTCTTGAAAGGAGACCTAGATCAACTCGCCCCCGCCCCTCCCCCCTGTATCCCGCCCCATCCCTTCGCCCTCCCCCCACCCCCAGATTCCGTGGAATCTGAGTAAAGTCTGAATCCCGTTAGCTGCGCCCAACCAGGCAAGGGTGAAGTTTAGGGGCGCACAGGAGCAGGACCCCGGAGATGGGAAGAGCCACCGCGGTCGGACTTACCTGCCTCCCGCTGCTGCTGAGAGGGCGCCGCGGGTTGTTGGCAGGTCAGGTAGGCGTCTCCGGGGGTAGCCGGCCTGGTGTAGGGATAGGGCAGGAGGTGGCCATACAGCCCAGAGTAGGGCAAATCGGAGGCGGCTGTGGTTGCGGGAGACAGGCCTAGAGGGTAGGCCGCCACTACGGATGGGACGGGGGCGTTGTCCGGGAAGACGGCTTTGGAGGCATCCCGGCCAGGGAGGGGGCAGGGCAAAGAGGACATTGCGGCCGGGGCCGGGGCCGAAGAGCCTAGGCCATGGCTGGGCACGTAGTCCGCTGCCTCCGCCAACTTTCTCTTTTCCGAGCCTCGGGCGTTGGGGCCAAATGAGCCCCCCAGCTAGCCTCCCACACACTTAAGATCAGGGGGAAAGTGTCTCTCTGCGCCTTTTCCAGCGGAGAGCGCGCGCCTGGGAAAGGGGTTCCGGGGGGGTGCCCCATGGCTTTCGCCTCCCCCCTAAATCCACGGGGGGCCCCCCTCTTCTCGCTCTTGGGTTCAGTTCCCGGGACCCGACGGGGGCCCCGCCCACTTAGACGCCCGAGATTGGCTACCGCACGCGGTGACCTCACGGAGGCCTGGAGCTGGGGCCCGCCCCCGCCCCCCCACCTCCGGGGGCAGCCAGCCGTGGGGAAATTCAGAACCCGGAGACGCCAGGGGAGCGGTTCGCACGCTCCATCCAGGCCCAGCTATTTTGGAGTTCTCTGCGAGAGGGGTGCCAGGGATGCAGGGCAATTGGGGCAGTCTGCGAACGCCTTGGTCATGACGGCAGAAACGGGAGAAGGTTGACTGGGCTGGGATGACCAAGGGGCAAAGGGAGCAGCGCAGTGGCGGAGGCGCTGTGGTGGTGGTGGTGGTGGTC